AGGGAGAGGGGCGTGATAGGGAGGGTGTAGCCATGGGGAGCGCATTGAGATGGGGAGCGTGTCACGACCGGGAGAGTGTCACGCCAAGGAGCGTGTCACGACAGGGAGCGTGTCACGACCGGGAGCGTGTCACGCCCGGGAGCGTGTCACGCCAGGGAGCACATGGAGACAGGGAGCGTGTCACGCCCGGGAGCGTGTCACGACCGGGAGTGTGTCACGCCCGGGAGCGTGTCACGCCAGGGAGTGTGTCACGACCGGGAGCATGTCACGCCAGGGAGTGTGTCACGCCAGGGAGTGTGTCACGCCCGGGAGCGTGTCACGCCAGGGAGTGTGTCACGCCCGGGAGCGTGTCACGCCCGGGAGCGTGTCACGAAGGGAAGCCCGCCGCGCTGGCAGCCACCCCACGGCGGTGGGGACGGCGCCGTGCCGCGGGGCATGTCGCGATAGCGGGGGCTGTGTCGCGCCAGCGGGCGCCGCTCACCGCGGGCGGGTGACCACGTTCAGGTACTGCTGCAGGTCGTTGTAGAAGCGCAGCAGCTCCTCGGCCGGCGCCTCGGGGCCGGGGAACGCGGGCTGCGCCGGGGCCGCGCGGGGCCGCAGCGGCAGCAGCGCCGCGGCGCACAGCAGCAGCAGCAGCGGCAGCGGCGGGGCCATGGCCGCGGCCACACCGGCGACACCGGAGCGGGACGGCGACAGCGGCGCTCCGGCGAGCGGAGTGCGCACCTGGGCGCAGCCGGACGCACCTGAGTGCGGATGGACACAGCTGAACACAGCTGGGCACACCTGGGCGCAGCTGGACACACCTGCACACACACACCTGAGCGCAGCTGGACACAGCTGAGTGCGGATGGACACACCTGAACACAGCTGGGCACACCTGGGCGCAGCTGGACACACCTGCACACACACACCTGAGCACAGCTGGACACAGCTGAGTGCACCTGGACACAGCTGAGTGCACCTGGACACACCTGCACACACACACCTGAGCGCACCTGGACACAGCTGAGTGCTCCTGGACACACCTGAGCGCACACACCTGACCACACCTGAAACACCTGCACACAGCGGTGCGCATCTACACACACACCTGAGTGCAGCTGGACACAGCTGAGCACAGCTGGACACAGCTGAGTGCAGCTGTCCCCTCACACCTGTCCTGTCACACCTGTCCTGTCACACCTGTCCTGTCACACCTGTCCCCGCACCCCCGAGCTCCGCACTCACCTCCTCTCTCGGGCGGGACCGGGACGCTGCCGGACGCGCCGGTGCTCGGTGCCAGCGGCGGTGCTCGGTGCCAGCGGCGGTGCTCGGTGCCGGCGCCGGGCTGGCCCTTAAATGGCCGCGTCCCCGCTGATGTCACCTGCCACGCCGCACCTGTGGCCAGGTGCCCGCTCGGGCGGGGAGGGGGCGCAGGGCCGAGCTGGGGTGACGGGGACAGCTGGCCCCGCACGGCTCCGGTTAATGTTTGACCCCGCGCGGCGGCTCCGGCAGGGGACGGGCCGTGGACACGCGTGTCCGGCCCCACGGAGGGACACAGGGACAGAGGGACACGGCAGGGGGGCGGGGGGGTCGCGGGAGAGGACAGAGGGGGGGAGTGGGACAGGGGGACGGTGGAGGGGCAGCACCTGCACCAATGCCCCCCCCGTGTCCCCCTGCACCCCGACATTCATCAGTGCCGATCCCCCCACCGGTGCCCCCCATTGCCCCGTGCACCCCAGTGTCCAACCCCAGCGCGCCCCAGCCCCACTCCCGCCCTTCCCTACGCACCCCCTCCTCCAAAATTCCCACCCCACACCCCTTTCCGCTCTACTCCCCTCCTTTCACCCCCAATCCCTCCCCATCCCCCTGAGCCCCCTCCCAGCCCCCTGCACCCCTCCATCCCCCCTCAATCCCTCCTCAATCCCCCCTCCATCCCCTCTCCATCCCCCTCAATCCCCTCTCCATCCCCCTCAATCCTCCCTCCATCTCCCCCCACCGCTGCCCTTCCCCATCCCCTCTGCACCCCCTGCCCGGCCCCGCGCCCCCCGCGCCCCCCGCGCCCCCCGCGCCCCACGCAGAGCCGGCCGTGCCCACGATCGTGTCTTTATTGTCGCTGCGGGGCCGTGCGGGGACCGCGCGGGACCCCCCCCGGCAGCGGCGGGGAGGGGACGGGGTCGGGGCCCCCCCGGCAGCGGGACGCCCCCGGGCCGGGTTCTGGGGGTCCCCGGCCTTCCAGCGGGGGTCCTGCGCTGGCGCTGGGTCCCCTGGGGGGACCTGGACAGGGGGGGAGGATTTGGGGGACGGGGGGGGCTGGGCGGGGCGGTCACCACGAGGAGTCGTCATCGAACCTGCGGGAAGAGCTGGGGTGAGAGCAGGGGAAACGAGACCCCCGACTCCCCCCCGGGACCCCAAACCGGCCCGGGACCCCCACCCCGGGGTGCGCAGCCCACAGGGACGGGGACAGGGGCACAGGGACACGGGCACACGGACACTCACCGTGAGCCGGCGCCGCCGGTGCCCGGGAGCAGCTCCGCCGCCGCGGCGCCGGGGCCGGCGCGTCTCCCGTACCTGCGGGACGCGGGCGCGCGCCTGAGCGACGGGGACCCCGCGGGGGCGCGCGGGGGGGACCCCGCGGGGCCAGCCACGCGTGTCCCCGCCGTGGCCTCACCTCTGCCGCGTGACCAGGTTGATGTAGTGGCGAAGGGCCGAGAAGTAGCGGGCCATCTCCTCGGGGGACGCGTCCTCGCCGGGGCTCTCGGGCCGGGGCGGGTACGCGGCCGCCAGGCACAGCAGCGCGCAGAGGGCCACGGCCGCCAGCGCGGCCCACGGCCGCGGGCACGGCACCATCTGCGGGCCACGGCGCTGGGGGGCGGCCGGGGGGCACCCCAACACCCTCGGGACCCCCCGCCCGGCTCTGCCCCACCAGCAAACCCCAGGAGCCCGTTCCCTGCGGGACTGTCAGAGCCTCAGAGCACCCCCGGCTCCCCAAGGCTTTCATCCCCCACCCGGGACCCCAGCCCACTCAAGGGACACCCCCAGCGTCCCCACGTATCCCGCGGGGACATCTCCCTCCCAGAGAACCCCCTCAGTGTCCCCAAGGGACTGTCCCACCCCGAAGGACACCCCAGAGACCCGCGTGCACCCAAGGGACGCCTCCCCTCAGGGTCCCCACAGGCCCCCGAGGTGACTGTCCCCCCCCAGGGACCGCGGGACCCCCGCCCGGCCCGGCACTCACGGCGGCGGCGGCAGAGGTGACAGGCAGGGCCTGGCAGTGGGGTGACAGCGCCGGGGACACGGCGGCTCCTGCACCCGCGCGCGTTTTATAGCCCGAGGGGGGCTGCTGGCTCCTCCCTCACGCGTGACAGACCCACGGGCACGCAGGACCCTGCGGCGACACGTGCCAGCAGCTGTCACTGCCCCCCCCAGCCTGGGGCACGGCTGGGATGGAGCGTGGGGGGCACGGGCGGGACACACGCGTGGGGCCACAGGACACGGGCACGGCAATGCCAGGCGGGCACGGGACATGGGCACAGGTGTGACATGTCACCGCGCCACACGGACAGGTGAGACAGGCAGCCAGGGCACGGTGACATGGATGTGACACACAGCTGTGGCACGAGGACACAGGACATGGACACGGATGTGACATGCAGCCGTGGCACAGGGACACAGGATGGGTGACACGGATGCCACACGCAGCCGTGGCACAGGGACACAGGACGGTGACACGGATGCCACACGCAGCCGTGGCACAGGGACACAGGACGGTGA